GGCGGAGATGATGTTGTTGCAGAAGACGTAATAGATTGAGCTGGTAAGGAGGGAGCCGAGAGTAACGGAGATGCAAGGGGTGGTGATGGAGAAGGCGTTGTAGCAGTAGAAAGATGATGCTCAGATGAGTGAGAGGGCGTAGGCGATTGTTGCTGTGGAGCGGAGAACATGGAGAAGACAAAGGTGTGAAGTGATGATTTTAGTTTGCAGCAGTAATCAAAGGAGGCAGCAGATATGATTGAGATAGTGACGATGTAGGAGGAATTGTTGATGTAGGTGCCAATGCAAAAGGGAATGAGCTTTCGTCGAAGACAACATGGCGAGATATGATGATACGACGTGTAGAAAGATCAAGACATCGGTAACCTCTATGATTCGTTGGGTAGCCAGAAATATGCATCGAGTTGAGCAAGGAAAGAGTTTGTTCTGAGCCGTTGGCAGGAGATTTGGGTAGCATAGGCAGCCAAAGACCCGAAGATGATCATACGAAGCTGGTTTGTTGAAGAGTCGTGTAAATGGGACTTCATTGTTGATTGTTCTTGAAGGTAATATATTGAGAAGATGTGCTGCCATGTTTAAAGCTTCGACCCAATAGGTGTTTGGAAGTGTTGCCTGAAAAAGAAGAGCACGAACAAGATTGTTTATAATGCGTAAAGTGCGTTCTGCCTACAGTTTTGTTGAGACGTGTAAGGACACGAGAATCTTGGCTGAATTCCATTGGTAGAAAAAAATCAAGAATAGCTCGATTATTAAATTCACCGCCATTGTCACTTTGAAAACTCTTGACAGATTTTTGAAATTGGGTTTTGACAAATTGTAAAAATGTAAAAACTTGCTAAAACTTCATTCTTTTGACGAAGAGGATAATCCAAACAAAATGAGAAAATTGATCAAGAAAAAATAACGTAATACTTTATTCCACTGATACTCGAGACAGGAGATGTCCAAACGTCTGAATGAATGATTTCAAATGGTTCAGAAACAACAGAATTTGAAGAATAAAATGTTTGTCGAGTGTGTTTCCCTAGTTGATAAGCATGGCATAGGGAAGACACATCAGTTTTTGAATATTGAAGAAAACCAGAAGAGGCTAAAAAATGTAAAGCAGATTCGTTGGGATGATCCAAGTGTTGATGCCAAAGAGATGCAGAAGTGGTTGTAAGAAGAGCATTATGCGATGGAGATGATGAATGCTGAGTGACAGCATAAAGTGGTCCTCTGCTATCACAACGGATGAGAGGAGCTTTGGTATTAAGATCTTTAACAAGAAAACCAAACAGGTCAAATTCAATAGCACGGAAATTATCAATTGTAAATTGTCTCACAGAAATCAGATTTTTTAGTATTTTAGAGCAGAGAAGAACATTATTCAAATGTAGAAGGCGAGATAATGAAGAAATCGATGATTGAGCAGAAGCAATAGCAGGAATAATTGATCCATTTCCAACAGTTATAAGAGGAAGAGAGGAGTGAGAAGAGATAGAATTTAGAGTACCAGACTGAGCAGGGAGATGAGCAGTATCTCTTGTGTCCATATACTAATCGGCGTTGGATGGATCAGATAGTGTTATGGTGTTGAAAGCATTTGCGAGAGTAGTAGGGATGTAGTCGGAATGTGGAGCCTGAGGAGACGACATGGTTGTTGAGTTATCAGTCGCAAGATAAACAAAGTTTGTTGTAGGTGGAGCATGACCAAGGATGCCGGTGGCAGGAGTGGAGGTCATAGGTTGCTGGAATCGTGAATTGTTTGATGGAGGCTGATTAATTTGATGTTGTGCATTGGGCCATTGAGAGACATGAGGCCAATGTTGATTGGTGGCCCATTGTGAATTGTTGGGCCATGAATTAGAGTTGGCCCATGATGGATAACTTGGCCACGTCCACACTGGTATAGATGCAGAATTCCAATTACCGTTATTCTAGCTAGGGTTGCTGCGGCCTCTGTTACCATGACCTCCACCGTGATTGCTTCGATTTTCGCGTCCACCATAACGATAATTGGGGAATTGCTGTGCTTGTGATGAGGGTCGCGGATTATATGGTTGTGGTGCTGCGGCAAGGAGTACTTGGGGGTTGGAGGCGTTGTCGTGGGGGGGGGGGGGGGGGGGGGGGGATGGTTCAGGTCGACGATATGTTTTGAGGCGTGCTTCTTCATCCTTGAGCATCGAGCGGGCATCATTGAAGGAACATGGGGGACATCGATGTTTGATAACATTGATGATGTTATCAAACTTTGAATTGAGTCCATTGAGAAGATGCATCACGAGGACACGTTCATATATGGGATAATTGACATTAACAAGAAGATCCGAGATTGTTTTCAGCTTCTGACAATAACCGTGAACCGAGAGATCACCAATCGCTAGTGAACGGAGTTCATTTTCAAGTTGAATGGCACGTGCCTCTTTGTTATCACGGAAGAGATTTTAGATGGTTGACCACAGCTCTCATGCGGTGCATTTGGTTTTCAGGATGGATTTCAGCAAAGATTCGGAGATAGTCCCGTAGATCCACATTTTGACAGTGTTGTCTGTTTGAGACCAGGCGAGATCTGTCGGGCCAGTTGGGAGAGATGTGCCATCGAGATGGCCTAGAACAGTGAAGCTATGATAGTGCGTTTCAAATAGTTCACGCGAAATGTTATAGTTCATCTGATTCATGTCAAGAATGATCAGAATTTGAGCTTTGATTTGGGTGAGGCTGAGTGTACGATTTGAGATCGGGTTTGCAGCAGCCATAGAGAAAATATATATAAGAAGAAAAGAAAAGAGAAAGAAAATGAGATAGAGAGAAACATATTAGAGGATCATGATAGAGAAAGAAAAGAGAGATATGATTTAGAAGAAGAAAATATCGCAGCAATGTTTTTAGAAAGAAGAAGAAGAGTATAGCTCTGATACCATGTTGGATTAAGTTAATTCCAGTCGATGTCTTTCACTGTATTGTTGATTGAGAATATATACAGGAATGATTAGGGATTAGCCGTTGGAGGCTAATAAACGATTTCCTAATTTACAGGGAATAATATTTACTTTCCTATTCTAATAACAACAAAACGGTTGTGCGTCAGATTAACCAGCTGAATGGTGACAGGGTCGCATCCCACAAAGGCATCTCCTATCTCTCCCGAAATCTTGTTGTGCGAGAGGTCGATGACCTTGAAGGAAGAATCATTGCAAAACCTTGGAAAAGATCCAAAGAAACGGTTTCCCGCAAGTGTAAGCCATGTCAGATTCTTCAGGTCCCTGAACCAGGAAGGTAACTGTCCTGAGAAGAGATTATCTTCAGCAGAAAACTCCAGCAGCGGAGGAATCTTTGATAGCTCCAGTGGCAGAGACCCAGAGAGACCATTCGAGGAAAACAGTAGCTTCTTCAGATTCTTACACTGACCAATCTCTCTAGGGATGAACCCCCAAAGCTCGGAGCCGACTAGATTCAATGTGCGCAGGTTGTGCAACTCTCCAATAGATTTGGGGATCGAACAGTTGAGCGGGTTGTAAGCAAGATCCAGCTTTACTAAGTTCTTGAGCTTGGCTATCTCTTCAGGTAGCGGACCCTCCAAAAAGCAATAAGGCGCCACAAGGGTTTTGAGCATCGACATGTTTCCCATCTCCTGCGGGATTTGACCCCAAAAACCGTTAAGCCCCATCGACAGATACCTCAGGTTACTCTGTCTGCCGATTTCCCTTGGGATTTCGCCCCAAAAAGAGTTGTTGGAGACGTTAAGCGCATACAGACCAGGCAGGCTCGTGAACAGGGATGGAGGAAGAGAACCTGAGAGGTTGTTGTCAGAGAGGTCGAGGTATCAGAGCTGATTCAAGTAACGAACTTGTCTTGGAAGTGCTCCTCTCAAGCGGTTTCTTGACAAATCTAGGGCTTACAAATGGTCAAGCTTCTCCAGCCACTGACGAAGGGAGATAATGCTTTATCCATTCCAACATTTCAAATGATTCAGTGAGAGAGAGTTTTGACGGGTTCGTGTCATTGTATTTCAAATTGCTCGCTGTAATTTTGATTATTATGTTTAATTTCTCTTTAATGAATGACAACTTCCAACTAAAACCTAATTGATAGTAAATGTGAAGTATATAATTAGGAAAATAAATCTTAAAAGACCTAACTAAACTAAATATGTTAAATCTTTTAAAATCCAAAGAGGCAAAACATTGTGTGTGGTTGTATGGTTAAAAATAGTAAGGTTTGATGCTTGATGATTTAGATTTGTGAATTAAGGTCACGGTTCAACTTTTCTTTATCATCTAGTTTACAGTTTAAATCTTAAACCATTTTGCTAAACTATATAAATATATATTAGTTTGTATATTGTGTATCAAATTTAAATTATTTTCATAACTCTAATGTTGTGGTTTAATTTCTATGTGTTTGATGTAAGATAGAACTGTCAAATGGGCGTGTCCATATCTAAATGGATATGTCCAAATGGATATTTATTTTTTGTGGACAAATATGGTCACGTTCGAAAATGACCGTGTCCAAATACGACCATGTCCAGTTGGATTGTCCGCGCCCAGCCCAAATTCAGAGAAATTTAGGTGAAAATTCAACTTTGAATAGAATTCCAAAAATCCAGAATAGAAAAAACAAAAATCCAGAACTTAAAAATCTTATTATGAGAATTGATGAAGAAAATCATCGATAAAAACATTTTTTCTTTTGGTAAGGATGTAAGAAACATTTATCTAATTAACGATATGAAAGACCAAAAAATTTATAGATACTAGTAGTTGTTTGTATCAATGTAGAATGAATGCATATTGTTGGCAAAGAAATAAACACCATGTGACATTTAACTCAATTGAATCCTATTATAACATTCCAACACTTCTGAGTCTTATTTTAACATTTTCGCATTCCAACACGATTGAGTCTTATTCTAACATTCTAATACGTCAAACCTTGAAGCTTTGCGCATAAAATCAGGTGTTCAACCACTCCGTTAATTATAACTTTCCAAGTACGTGACCTATACGTTCACCCAAAAACAATAACGGATTATGTTCTGTTCAGTTCTCAAATCTTGAAAAAAGGACATTGTTATTAAGAATTCTCTGTAACTTTTGGTGAAGAGTAAAAATGACGGATAGTTACGAGAACCAAACTCCTGTAAAGCTTGAGGTTAGTTTCCACTAAACCCATAACTCAGATCCAAAATCTTTCAATGTTTTTCCTCAAATTGTTTTTTTGTATCTGAATACAAAAAACAGGGGAAGTTTCAAGCAATGGTTGTTTCCTGTATTCTTGGAATCGGATCTCTCGTTTCTTGGAACACTCTGCTCAGTGTTGGAGACTACTACTACCAAGTTTTCCCGGTTCGGTTAATTTTCAGATTCGAAATTGGTTTTGGAATGTTTTTTGCTTATATAAAAATTATGTTTCTTGTCGTTGTAGGATTACCATCCTTCAAGAGTACTCACATTTGTATACCACCCATTTGCGCTTGGAACAATCATGATTCTTGCCTACCACGAATCGAAAATCAATACTCGAAAACGTAACCTGATCGGTTACAGTCTATTCACAGTTTCTATATTCTTGCTCATCGTCGTAAGTTCAAGTCTATTCTCACATAATTCTCTCTTCTACTTTTCTTGTGAAACCGGATTGGGATTATGGACACTAACCCTAAACCCCGAAACAGTTGGATTTGACTACAAAAGGACATGGTGGGATGGGACCATATATCGGTGTATGCGGAATCATCGCTTTGTTTGGTATTGCGGATGCTGTCGTACGAGGAGGAATGCTTGGAGACTTATCCTTGATGTGCCCTGAACTTATTCAGGTTTATATACTTGACAAATTCAAGATCTCGGTTTAGATTAACTGGTTTAGACTATATATAGTAAACTGATCTTTCTTTGTTTTTTGGTAGTCATTCACGGCTGGTATGGCTGTAGCTGCTGCTCTAACATCAGCATTTAGGCTAATAACTAAAGCAGCCTTCGAGAAATCGCATGACGGTCTACGAAAAGGAGCAAGTGAGTTTAACATTTTTTAAAGATCTCATATAAAAAAAAAAAAACAATAGCGCAAGTGTTGAATACTTCATTTATTGCTTACTATTTTACTTATTTCTGCAGTGATATTCTTAGCAATATCAACATTCATAGAGTTTCTCTGCGTGTTGCTATATGCTTACGTGTTCCCGAAGCTTCCCATCGTTAAGTACTATAGAAGTAAAGCAGCTTCTGAAGGATCAAAAACTGTTTCTGCTGATCTTGCTGCTGCTGGTATCCAAAATCAATCAGTTTTGGTAACTTCAGATTCCTCAAGAATCTTCCCCTTCTTTGTTTCCTTGTACCTCAAGATTCTTCATTTCTTGATTTTTTTTTCTTTTCAAGATTCCCTCGCTCTTAAACATTGTTTAGTTTCTTGATTCTTGATTCTTCTATATATGCAGACTGATGATGATTCAAAGAACCAAAGGCTAAGCAATATAGAGCTATTGTTTCAAAACATAGACTATGCAGTGAATCTATTCCTCGTCTATGTTTTGACAATGTCCATTTTGCCCGGGTTCTTATACGAGAACACGGGACAGCACGGGCTAGGCGCATGGTACGCGCTTGTCCTAATAGCGATGAACAATTGGTGGGACTTGATCGGGAGGTACGCACCGCTGGTTAAAAGGTTGAAGATTGAGAATAGAAAAGGAATCACGTTTGCGGTTCTGGCCCGTTATGTACTTGTTCCGGCGTTATACTTCACCGCAAAATATGGTGATAAAGGATGGATGATTATGCTCATTTCTATATTTGGAATGACTAATGGACATCTCACTGTTTGCATTCTCACCACAGCTCCTAAAGAGTACACGGTAATATTCTTACTCTAACATGGTTAATATTAGCGGTTGCGTTTCAATTTAGGGTAATTGCACTAAGCTACCACTAGTGTCTATATTTGAGTTTTAAAATACTACTATCTAATTTATTTTTTTCTTAATACGTTCTTTTGCAAACTAGAAAAGCAAGCGCAAAAGTCAAGATGAAGTTTGTCTTTTTATATGCGTTTTTCCCCCTGCTTTACAATTACATGCGTTGAAAATTTGCAAAGATTTATTTAAAATGGAAAAGTGTTGTGGTTTCATTCATGAATCAACGCAATATTGTGAATATAAGCATAAACTCAAATGTAACAAAAATTACTTATTTTATACCATATTTGCTTTCAAAATTTGAAAATTTACGTTAACTATTTTTTTTTTGAAACAATAAACACAAAATCCTTTTACAAAAACAAAAATAGTTACACATAATCAACTTTTACCTACATACATATTCTGATTATGTATCATGTTTTGCTTTTGTGAAGGGTCCCGAAAAGAATGCGTTAGGGAACTTGCTGGTGATTTTTATAATAGGAGGAGCGTTTGCAGGATCTGGTCTTGGTTGGTTATGGCTTATTGGTAAGGAAAATGCCTTCTGAGTTCTCATCAGCAACGATTCGTTTGATCGGAAACTAATACTTTCTTCTTAAAGAGCTATTGGTAGAAATTTTGTATTCTTCAAAAAAATAAAAGTAAATTCAGTGTATTGATTTATAAACTCATGTATTCTTAGTAAAATGTAATGGTATTGTTTGATGACTTTTAAATTTCATTCAATATCTCTTGTTAAACTTAAAAATTAGCTATCATTGATTTTTTAGTTATATTAACATTTAGTAATATAGGGATGTTAGTTTATAATTTTATTCATAAACACACATAATAATGTTGAGAACTATTGGATTCTCATATGAATCCACATACTCCTTTACCAGTTAAAAAAAAACCCCTTCACTTTAAAATCAATATGTACGTACTTGCCCAAAAAAAAACCGTATGTGCAAAAAAAAAAGGAAAAAAAAAACCGTATGTGCATGCATAACTCTGTTATGGGGGAAAATGAGAAGTTTAGTGCCTCGAACCTGAACTAAATTTTGTTTAGCCATGAAAAAAGAAGAGAATACTAACACGTAATAACTTGATATGAAGTCTTATTTCAATGCTTTACCAAATTGGCAAATTGTGTTTCACGTGTCCAACTTCGATAATGCTTTATCTATTTCAGCTTTTCTGTAGTGTTAGAATTCGTCACTTACAGTTATTTTAGACCCATCAAGCCTCTCATTTATATACTATTTTCTAAAATCTATTATTCTGTACAATATCCTCTTAAAAGGTAGCTTGTGACGAGAGAATGCCCTTTAAACTTTGGGTTGGCTGCTTAATCCTCCCTCAACAATGCTGGTTCTGTCTAATCTCACCCAAGCTTTAAAGCTCTTGATTTTATCCTACAAACTGTAATATTTGATTACAAAACCACCCAAAATACCAAGTGTTGCTAGCTCGACTAGTAAAGGGACCTTAGGCAAAGCTTAGAGGTCACAGGATCAAGTAACACTTGGGACGAAACCAATATTACATGCTGTGGTTTTGGACCTGGGGATCACAGACTTCGGCCCAGAATCTTCTGATAATTCAAAAAAAAAAAAAAAAAAAAAAAACCATCCAAACTTTTTTGCTCTATCTAATTATACCTACCAATCTAAAATCCATAAATTGCGATCAAATCATATAAATTGCATTTAATGAAAACAGTATTTGCCCGACCAAACCCGAGCCATAATCGAGTTAAACTTGCACAAACCTAGTCTCATAACATCAAACACTAATGGGAATAAGTGAAGCAGAATTTGGTTAGCCGTTCACTTGATCATCATCTCATCATTAAAACGGAGGTATGACTTTCAAATCTTCAAAAAATTCTTCATAGCATCTCTCTCGGCATGTAACTTATCGACCTCCTCTTTAATGAGTGTACCACAAGGCATGTTGAGTATGTAGTCGTACTCTGAATCATCAGCTTCCACAGGCTTGGACTTGTTTGGGAATGGTTAAATCCCTTTATCTCTAAGCTCCTTGACAAGACCGGCCTTGTTCTTCTGATTCCACAGTTTGATTTCTCCATTTATCACTCCATCGATTAACTTCACTTTGTTATCTAGCATTGGATAATCAAGACAGTACAGCTTGTACTCATCGTGTGTTCCTGAAAACATTTACTGAAAGATAAAGCGGCAATAACTAATAGGGTTCCGAGAGATTCTTAATTTCTTAAAGATAATCTTACATGACCTTCTTATATAAAAAAAAACCTAATAGTTTGTAGTTATCTTTTAACAGAAAAAAGATTTGATTATTTATATTCACACCGACTTTCACATATTTACTTCAAGACTACGTAATCTTTTATCTGCACAATAGGCGGGAAAAAACAGTTGCGAATTTATGAAGAATGCCGCTTTGGACACCTTCATTCGCATAGCTATAAAAGTAATGCGCAAGATTAAAAGCTATATAAAATTCGTATTTATTGTTTTCTAAACTTTATTTTTTTCTCCATTTTGATTTAGTAGTCAACAAAAGTTCAAATAAATAAATACAAGATTTGTAATTGTAACATCCAGTTTGCTTAAACCGGGACTGTTTTTATTTTTCCAAATTTTGATGAGTTTTGTCTAAAATTTTAAATTTCCTTTTTTATTATTTTTTCCTAATTTTTTTAAAGAAGATTATCAATTTCATTTTTTAGAAGGTATTTATTCATTTTCTCTCAAGAAAATAGTATAAGTTTTTTGTTAAATACAAAATGTTCAACTAAAAATTATAGTCACAAACTCTTAATTACAATCACCCATAAAAAAAAAATTAGTGTATTTTTGTGAAATACAAAATGTTTAACTAATAGTAAATCTAATGATATTTATGAAAGATTTTTTTTATCTTATTATAAATCTGTACCGTCTCTAACAAGTCCGATATGAATTCTGGTCGGCCCGTCTAACAAGTTCCAGGTCGGCAATATAAAAGGAAATCTTCCATTTATCGAGCGACCCGGGGAAAAAGAAAACTCCTTGCCTGCAAAAGTTTCCTATCGGCCGACCTGATCGGCTATAAATATAGGAAGTCATCGACTCCTCAATCTATCAAAAAATCATCTATCGAGATCTAGGGCAAACTAAGCAATCTGATTGTTCTAGCTTTCGATTTACTTTCCATAAAAGTTTAGCTCCGCGTTCTTATTCCGACGACCTAAACCCCCGTGTATTCATTCAAGCTCCGGCTTCTTCTAATAAAAGACTTCTCTTTAAACCCACAAACCCTAGTTCTTTCGTAGATCGAACTTGAGTTTTTATAGTTGGCGCCGTCTGAGGGGAATAAAAGAGTAATCTTTGACTTAGAACGGAGTTCGAAGATGGTTCAAACACCGATCAATACTACCGACCTCACAGGAGGAGCCTCCGATCCGACAAAAAACATTCAGGATCCGATCATCGACCTAGCCACAGGGCTTCCGGTGGCCCACCAGACCGATCAGGAAGACAACACAACTACCGCACAGAACACTGGGGGAACAGACCAGGTCGGTCAGACGGGTGGCACAAACACGACCAGCCTGCCACAGCCATCTCCCATCGACATAGCCACGATCATCAGGTCGGTTGCAGCACAGTTGCAACAGGAGATGGATGCTCGCTTCGAGACCCTCCGTGCCGAGCAGATAGCTTACAGAGAAGACTTGGATCGGTTTATAAACTCTAGGGTTCATACCCAATAGCAGGCTGATCTTATCACTCCCCCTCGCCCTTTGATCCGCAACACAGATACGACCAGGCTGGTCAACAACTTGTTTGGCACGACACCGACGGACGACTTACGGAGAGCACAGGCAGACGGCTCGCATGCCCGCTTATCTCGCAATATCGCAGGAACCGACCCGACGACAACCTCGGAACTCGATCTTCTCCACCAATGCCTTGATGATATCCACAGCAAGATCCACAAGGCGACGACTTCAGCGCCCGAGTTGGATAAGATCCTTCAGGAGACACAGCAATCCCTGTTCACGTCGGCTATCATCAATGCTCCTCTTAAGGACATAGGTCGGATGAAGCTACCTCCGAGTTACTCCGGCACGACAGATCCGAAGCGACACCTGACCGCGTTCAACGCAGTCATGGGACGTGCTCGCTTCACCGATGAGGAACGGGAAGCATGCCTCTGTCAATACTTTGTGGAGACGCTCTCCGGAAGCGCCCTCACCTGGTTCTCACAGCTTCCCAAAAACTCCATCGACAGCTTCAAGGAGCTCACAGCTCGGTTCCTGAAGCATTATTCGATTTACATCGACACCGAGTCCACAGCGCTCGATCTATGGGCATGCGTCCAGGGCGACACGGAACCGCTGCACGATTTTATCGATCGATTCCGATCAAACGTCTCCCAGTGCAGTCTGTCGGACGAACTGTGTTTCAACATTCTTATCAAGAATTTGAAGGATGATTCATCATTTTGTGAACGATTAAAGACAGGAAAAACCAAAATCCTCGAAGATGCTTTGCACAAGGCATCCGGGTACATCAGAGTCGAGGAGGATCGGACAGCCAAGGCCAAGGCCAAGTTGGCCGATGAGAAATCTTCGCGCGACAAGAAAGGCAGATCGTCGAGTCAGGAAGATTACAAAGAGCCCCGTCAGCACTACGACAAGGATGACAAGAATCGCAAGAGCATCAACGCAGTTGGACGACCAAAAAAGCCATGGAACGTGTGGGACCGCTCGAGCGACAGAGACCCCGACAGCAAGAAGCCGTGGTGCAAATACCATAGGGCGCACGGTCATCATACCGATGATTGCTGCACCCTCCCAGCCCTCTTGAGGAAGAGGTGGGACGATGGCGAGATCACCTTTCCAGAACCCCGGAGTTCATGACGATCCGACGATGAGGACATACGACCCGATGACGATCGCGATAGAAGAGATAACACCGATCGCTTTTCTAAACGCGAGGGCAAGGAAGCAAGCGTGACCGTGAAAACGTTCACACACCTCCAAGCTCACCACGTCGGCGGATCAACATGATCATGGGAGGGCTCCTCTCGTGCACCGACTCGATAAATTCAATTAAACAGCACGAACAGAAGGCAGCCAATCCCCCGAAGGACGCACCACTACTGTTTAAGGACGATCTACCGATCACATTCACAGAGCAGGACGCGCATGACATCGACCGACCTCATAACGATCCACTCGTCATCTCACTACGACTCGGAGACGACGACGTCTCCAGAGTATTGATCGACACTGGAAGTTCGGTCGACCTCATCTTCATGGATACTCTACGCAATATGAGTATCTCCGAGCGGGACATCAAAGTCGCACCATCACCGCTCACAGGATTCGCTGGAGACTCGATTTCGACAATAGGAACTATAACGATGTCTGTCACCATACGCAGGAAGTCAATTATGGTCAAATTCGAGGTTATTGACCGACCTGCGATCTACAATGCAATCCTTGGAACACCATGGCTGAATGCCATGCGGGCCGTCCCTTCTCCTTACCATCAATGCATCAAGATGCCGATCAAGGGCCGTGTCATCACCATTCAT